CAACCCTGGTGTATTTTTGTGATCAGCTGAGGAAGTCAAACATTGCAGATTCTTTCTGCGTTGGAATTTGAGTTGTGTTTTTAAGTAATTCAATGTTCTATAATTTAATCTGATATAATAGGGAGGACAAGCCAGAATCAACACAAAAAAAAAAATGATTTCTTTTTTTAGTGTAGTTCAATGATGAAACTTCTAAATGAGCTTATAGAATGCATGTTTATTTTCCTGTGTTTCTGAACTTGCCTCAGTGCAGAAGATGTGTTTTTGCTCTCCACTGTGCTTTTCAGTGACGTTTTGACTGCAGAGGAATATGTGTGGTTTCTGTTCTAGGAAATACTGGATTCCCTTGCTGAGCTCTACTCCTTGTTACAAGAGGAGGACATGTGGGCTGGACTGTGGCAGAAACGCTGCAAATTCCCGGAGACAGCGACAGCTATTGCCTATGAACAGCATGGCTTCTTTGAACAGGTACTGGCTTCATATTAGAGACCATCTAATAGTAGTTCTACTACCAAGTTGAATATTCAGGACAGTAATGACCTGGTACTACATATTGGTAACTGATTTCAGTCTTGTAAAGTAGAAAACATCACAGTTTCTCTTCTGACGGAAATAATAGTTTAAGGCTGTGTAAAAGCTAGATAAAGAAAGATTTTTGAGCACCACTACTGTGTTTCGGGAGTCTCTCAGTTCTTTACCACATTTGTAAAGCTGCCAGGTAATGTCTCTTAACAGAATTTCTTTTTAACTTACAATTATAATCACTTTTTTTTTCTGAAGAATAGAATGTTGAGTTCACATTATATGTAAAAGATGAAAAAATAACACTATTTTAATATTTTTTAGGCACAAGAAAGTTATGAAAAAGCAATGGAGAAGGCTAAAAAAGAACATGAACGGAACAATGCTTCCCCTTCCATCTTTCCTGAGTATCAGCTCTGGGAAGACCATTGGATTCGGTAAGGCCTTAAAAGCTGTTGCAGAGCGAGACTTGATACATTGTAGTAGAAGAAAAATACCCTGCTGGTTTATAATAAGAGTTACTGGAATAAACCTGGTTTAGGACATACAATATAAAGGGGAAACTTGATACAATATAAAGGGGAAACTTGAGGGAATTAAAAAGAAAAGCTCTATTGCCACTCCCTTTAGCCGATCCTCAGAAACTGAAGCATGGTGAAAATATAATTTTTAGTCAAAATTGGTCAATACACACTGGGTTAGAATTTTTTTTTCCTATTTGTAATGGATGCTCCAGGAGCCACCAAATGCAGCTCTTCTTTTTTTTTAGATTTCTGTATTATGCTGTAGGTGACCCTGCATGTGCAGGGGGGTTGGACTAGATGATCTCCAAAGGTCCCTTCCAATGTATTATTTTATTATTAGTGGTGGTAAAAATATTTTTTTTTTTTTTTTTTTTTAAATCCTCCTTTCTGGGTAAAATTTTTGCAGTGTCTGCAGAACACTTCACATACAAACTCAGATGCCTATATTATCCTGATACAAATCATTGGTAGTTACTTCTGTTTATATATTTTTATATATGTGTGTGTGTATATATATATTTTGTAACCAACATGACACTTTTTTTTTTGGTGGTTGTTAGTTGCTCAAAAGAACTGAACCAGTGGGAACCTTTGACAGAGTACGGCCAATCAAAAGGACATATAAATCCCTACTTAGTACTGGAATGTGCGTGGAGAGTATCTAACTGGACTGCTATGAAGGAAGCTCTGGTGCAGGTGAGTGAGGGGTTTTACCACTCTGAAAATGCGCCGTGCTAATATTTAATTTCCTTGTGGATTTTACTGGTTATATTTCTAGCAAGTCAGCATTGCTGTTCATTTCATAGAAACAGTAAACTGCTCTTTGGAAATTTTCTTTGATGTCCTAGCATGCAGCTGGGTGTTTTGGCAACCAAAGCATGTTATTTCAACAGACAAACTTGGTTTGCTTTTGCGCCCCTTTTCAAAGCTGTGCTATGTAAGGAATATACATTTCTTAAGTAGATAGTTTCAGAGTTAGGACAGGTAAAAGATTTGGTGAGTGGAATTGAGTTATTATAAAGCAACAAATGCTTGTCCCAGAGTGCGTGCCAGCAGTGATACCCGGAGGAACAGATGATGGATCCTTACAGATATATGATATTAGGCACTCTAAACTTACAGGTATGCAGTTTAGAGGAGGATGGAGAAGATTTTTTTTGTATTTTAAGCCTTTGCCAGAACTGAAGTTCTTTTTATGAAATGCAGTAAGATGATATGCCTGTTACAGTCCCTGTGGACTGTGTAACTCTGCTCCCAGGTCAAAAACAGGAAAGCCCAATGCCCTTGGAGTATTCGTGTTTGTTTCAGCACCTGGAAGGCAAAGTCAAAGTGGTCCCAGCCTTTACTGTTCAAAGTTAAAATGCTTAAACACAATTTATTCTGTTTGTCTCCACCCTCCTTGGGGGAGGAATAGGACAAATGTATAAAAATGTGAAAATCAGGGAATTGTCAGTTAAATTTGGCTTATGTTAATTGCCTTTTTGTATCTGCACAACGTTAACCCTCTGGTAAACCTGTGTTTCAGGCTTCTTTGCTAAGAGATTTCAGGTTATTCATGGATGGCTCTTGCCTGACTCTTGTTAGCATGTTGTACCTTCCTGAACATCTCTCAAATTCATTTTCAGAGATGCAAGGGTGCCAATATATCTTTCTGAACATGCATGCGCTACGTTTTGTTATTCTCTGTGGTACAGTCAGCATCATGATCAGCTAAAATGTTTTCCAGCTTTTGAAAAGGCAGATAACAGCTGCTCTCTGCAATGTTTTGCCTTTCTCAGTCACGGAGTTCTAAGTCTGTGGCTTTATGGCAAGGGCATTGGTGAAATGCTGTAGGGTTGTGTGATTTGATTTATTTTTTCCCCTTCTTTCTCAACCCTGTTGAGCTACTTATCATTTGTAGAACTTGAGGGCAGCTTTCAGGTGTCAGATGAAAAAAAAAATCCAGGTATTAGACAAAAAATTGAAACTGGTTTAAAACTTAACACAGTCATATTAAATGAAGCTTTACGTTCAAGGGTTACCTGAATGGAAACAGTCTGCTCTGAATGCATGGCTTTTGTGCAGACTTTAGGACTGGCAAAATGTTGCCAGGCAATTGAAAGAGCAACCCCCAACCCTGAGAAAGCAGTACATGAAATCTCTGGAGTTTCAGCACTGTTTGGTTGGAGAGGCTTGTTTACATTGCAGATCATGCCAGTGGATATTATTTGAATGAAGACAGTGACAAATTCAAGGATGTTCTTATATGAGGGGAAAATGTATTGGGATTGCATATATAGCCCAAGCCATTTTTCTTTTTCTAATTTACAGCTCTGCCTAGCAGATGTGTAATGGAAGGTTTGCCGCTGTTGTAGTTGACATTCTTCTGTGATATGCCCTGAACACTACATCCAGGGATTACTTCTTGTAACCATCTTCTTTGGCTTTCTGTTTAAGTACTCAGTACTTTATTACTGTAAAGTAACTGCTGGATTTCTGATTTTATTCTCATTTTGGGTCTACTTTAGTTCCATTCCAAATGAGGCTCATTTGATTTTATAGTGTATCCATTATGCATAATTTTTAAGTAACTTGGAAGTACCAAGGGTTAGAGCAAGTGTGTTTAAGACTGGAGTGTGGAGATGTAATTGAAACCTGAGAGAAAATGAGGTGAGGATGAAGGAGGTTGGAGGAAAACAAATGGATAAAGGGTGGCAGGGGTAACTGAGCAACAAGACTGAAGCAAGAAGTTGGATAAAGTGGTTTCCTCCGAAGGATAAGAATTTTGTAAAACTAGCAGAGAGGAAAGAGGCATTGAATGAAATGTTGCAGGGGGCATCAGTATTCATGAAAGGTTTTGTGGTCTGTTTGTTTGTTTTATGAATAAAGTTTAAATGGATAGAAAAACATCCTTAAAGTTACTCTTCTGAGAGTTTCCTCTGAAAACTCTCAGTTGTTTGAGGAAAGAAAAACAATGAAAAATACATATGTGAACACTTTTACCTCAGCAAATTTTGAAGAGTTTTGTAGTACACAAAAGACTGACCATATTTAGGTAACTTCTTCTAGAAATTCTAGAATGAATAGTTTTTTTTTTTTTTTTTCTTCCCCTCCTCTTTCTGTTGTTTCTTTCCTTCATTTTGTAAGTGACATGTGAAATCACTCTTATTGGGTGGTGGATTTTTTTTTTTTTAATATTACTTTAGGAAAAGATATCCTCCTATAGTAAATTGAGGGGTTTTTTTTCCTTATTTCTAATCTGTTATTAGTCAATGTAAAAATGAAAATGTAGAACTGGCACCTTAAAGGTGAGAATATTGTGTTAAATACCAAGTGAAAATGAACTTGCTGGTCTCCTTGCAGTGCTTGGGCAGTGCTCCTTTGCTCTGGCATTGCTGGAATTATTCTGCTAAAGGGGCTAGAGTTGAGAAGGGAATGAGTTGCATCTTTATGATTTCCCTGATAAAGCTCTGAGCAGAGCCTGTTTGTTTATATGTTGCAGGGATTTATCCAGAAGAATTAGTCCCTCATGCAATTGGGTTTTATTGTTTTATCATTACTGTTTTGAATCGAGTTGTTAACAAGTGTCCCTCAGTAAAAAATATTACATATCTGGTTAAGAGCTGACTGACTGGTTTCATAATATTTGCAAAACCTAAACATGATTATAAAAAATGCTGAGCATCCTTTAATTCCAGTATCTTGCAGGATTAAGTTCCTGCATACAAACTACCCTAACACTGTGTTTCAGTGTGACAACTTATTCTTGCATGATAAATATGCTGAATTGTATGTCTCTCTCAATTTCTTCAAGATCAGGCTGCATATTATGTTTTTATGTGGTGTGTTTATTCTTCTGGAACATTTTCTTTTGTCAGAAAGCAAAATACCTAGGTGCAATCGATATGTTTCACTTTAAGGACTTCACTATGAAAATAGTGAAAGTAGTTCAATTGATTAAAGGCAGAATTGTCTTTTGATAGAGCTTAAATTAAGGGTGTCCAACCATTGCAACATTTGCAATTGAATTTTTCCATGTTTGTAGTACTAATGATTCAAATGAAGTAGTTGTCTCTAAAGATGGGCTTTTTTATATATCAGTCATTGCAAGCAAATCTTTTAAGTGGTAAGCTGTATGGGCTACAGAAATTATCTAACGTGTGATACGTAGGTTTTAATTAATGGCATTTTAACAAACACCATTGTGTTCACTACTTAAGCATGCATCTTTATTGACTAGTTATAATTGACTAATAACATTTTTAAAGCTCAAAATAAGAAGTACTTTGTATGCTGTATTTTAAGCCTAGAGTTATAACAGAATGAAGTTTATCATGTCTGACAGGTTCTGTTTTTGGTGGCTTGCAAGTAGAGTAGAAGTGACAACCAGGAGTAAGTGCTGATACAGTTTAGCTGCAGTTATAGTAAATGAGATTTTCAGTAATGAGGCATTTACTAATGGACTGAGGAGAGAAGATATTGAAGCCGTGAATGGAACTTCTGTGGCTCTGCTCACATGTTTAAGTGTCAGGACACATGTTTGCATAAATAGTAGGATGGGAAAGAGTAATTGCTTCTATGCTGCTATACCTGCTACTCCAATTTTATTGATATTCTTTCATGCTGTTTTTTTTAAAACCTGACTTTCAAAAGCTTATATTAAAAGTGTTTATGCTTTATCCACAGGAGAGGTCAGAAAAGATGGCAACTATATATCAGTCTCTTCAATCCTTGTGAAGCATTTTTAATAAGCTACCTGTTAAAGTTAAGCCTTTAAAATACCAAGTGGCCTTTGATAGGACCCAAGACTCATTTCCATTTGCTCACATTGCCATTGTGTTTAATGAGCCAGTAGATAATGTAATAAAGAGATTATTTTCACTGTGTAAGTGTAGGGTTGCTACCTGGCAGTTTCTCCTCATTGGCGCAGATGTAAAAGTCAGTTGAGGATAAGCAAAAAAAAAACCAACAAAAAAACACAAAACAAACAAATCCAAAAAACACGCTTGAAGTGGTTAAGATACAGTGTATCAAGAAGAAGGCAATGCAGAAGGATTTCTGTGTTGCATATAAAGACAAAAAGAGGTTGTTATGAAGGGGAAAAAGAGGTCAAAGACTTTGGGATTTCAAGCCTGCGCTATCAACTAGGGGGTGATTAAGTGGGCGTAATTTAAATGGATGAACTTGTTTTGAAAAATCTTATTTATTAACTTTTTTTTTTTACTCTACAACATTGCATATATATGGTTACACAGTTCAAGTGTGTTGTGCAATGCTCTCTTTCAGAAAATGGGTTTAAATTATTTTTTTAAATTCATTTTTAGGACTTTCACCTAATTGAGCACCTGTCTTCCAGAAATTATTTTGACCTGAATTGGGATAGTTTTAGATCATTTTAAAATTAACAGCTCAATTAATTCTCATAAGCTTGGTAATATCCTGGAGCAGGCAGGTAAGAGGTGTCATGTTGGCACAAGGTGTTTGCATGTGCGGAGGAGATTCTTGTGAGCAGGAATTTGACATTCCCTGTTCGCAGGGTGCTGAAGCGTTTCACAAGGTAGTAATGCTTCATCTGCTGAGGAGCATCTTTTTTTTCTCTGCATAGAGTGAATTGGTTTACAGTGAGCTTCATGCTCCCCTTGCAGGAGAGCTTGTTCAGCTGTCTCTGGACTTCACTACAGTTGTCAGTATAAAAATATCCTGCCAGCATTTTGTGTGCAGGCACATTTACTCTTATGCTGAATTTGCCATTTGTTTGCTAGCCCATCCTAACCAAAAACTTCTAGAGAGCAGAAATTCCTCTAATGTCAGAGATTTCAATATTTTAACCTGATATTTTTAGATACAGAGCTGAATATTTATTTAGGAGTGATTTTTATTTTTTAAATTACAAAATTTTCTGCACTGAAGCAATTTAAGCATAAATAGTCTTTGCTAGAAGCTTTTCCATTTGATTACCAGGTGGAGCTGAGTTGTCCGAAGGAGATGGCTTGGAAAGTGAACATGTACCGAGGATATTTAGCGATCTGCCATCCCGAGGAGCAGCAGCTGAACTTCATTGAGCGCCTGGTGGAGATGGCGAGCAGCCTGGCCATTCGGGAGTGGCGACGGCTTCCGCACGTCGTGTCGCACGTTCATACTCCCCTCCTGCAGGTAAGGAGAAAAGCTGGGTATTATTGATTATTTTCCAGTTTCAGGATTTTTAACAATTTATGAGTATGAAGTATGTTTTACTCTACAATATTGTTGGTTTCTCCTAATGATATTTTCTTGGGAAAAATTGCATTTTGCAGTGGTAAGGCAGGAATTTTGAGGGTCACTGTGTGTACTTGACCAGAGCTGGGTGCCTAAACTCTGTTTGGAAACTGGGACTTGGCCTCCAGGTGCTTCCAGAAGCCTGTTGGAGGCATCCAAGTGCCCATGGTCGTCACTGCGTGGTGTGGCTGGTGTGGGGATTTGGGTGACAGGGGGCTTGGGTTCAGCTTGTCACGCAGTAGGTGACCTCGACTACATGTGCTGCTGGTGTGTCTTCATTTGAGGGCTGCCTCTTCCCCAGCTTTGCTGGCTGTGATGCATGTGGCTGAGCCCAGCTCATCACTGCTGTGAGCTGTTCATCTCCAAGGGGAAACTCAGGAATATCTAACCTGGGACTGCATAACAAGGATGTCTTGCTAGGTGGATCAGTGTCTGGAAACCTCATGCAGCTATGTGGAACATCCTGCTTTTTCCACGCTCCAGTCAAGCTAGGGTTTCCGTACGAGGTCAGAGGTTTTCCTGTGCATCGTGCACGGTGTGATCTGTGGGTACCTGCATCCACGGAATGGCTCCGCGGAACGGCTGGGCCTGTAGTGAGGGTTTGTGCCGCATCCTGCGCCTTTCCCTGGCCTCCAAAGAGGCGGCAGCGTCAGCCGGAGCGAGGGAGAGAGGGGACGGAGCGCGGCCAAGGAAAGGGCTCAGATCAACTCGATGAGATGGAGCTGGGTCGTCCTGCGAGCTGCCGGTCTCGTGTCAGAGTTAATTCCTTCCTGCTAAGTTTTCATCAGTACTTTAAGTTTTTTCCTCCCTGCAGACTGGCAGTATCTGCAGCGTGAAAGGATTAGCCATGCTGTATAAAGTGTTTAAAAGCTTTCAAATATCAATTAAGGCAATTTTAAAAAATAATCTTGTATGTATATATCTGCCTTGAAGCAATGATAAAATAGGCAGTGAATGACAGAGGTACAAATGCAGCAGTGAATTTGCACTGCAGTAATTACTTTTTTTTTTTTTAATATCAGATAGCATGTGATTAAATACCTGTGAGAAAATTAAATTTATGTGATGAATGAGTGTAGGATGAAGTTTAAGCTATTGCGAGAGCTGATACTGAGGTGATTGTAGGAAAATATTACTTTCCCTTAATTTATTTTGTTTCAAGAGATTTGACTCCGTAAATTTGGAGTGGATTTTTTTTTTTAATAACTTATCTTATTGGATTGATTAACGGTGAATACAGCTGTTATCTACTGAGAGGTAGCTCGGAGAATACTACATTGGCTTTATTGTATTGCATGTAATTAAATTCCCCGCAAATTCGTGGGCCTTTTCAGGTTGTCGAAGTTTAGCAAAATGTCTGCTGCTGTTAGGAAGCTGGAGACCGCGGCCATCTCCTGTTTGCTCCTTTCAGCTACTTGGGAATATTGGATGTCTCTGAAAAGCCATTCTTGGCCCAAGCAAGTTCTCAAATCTAAGGCCGCTGCAGAATGGCTTGAGGCAATAGCTACAGGAAGGCATCAAGGAACATTTCAGTGTGCTTCGGGTCTTGTAGAGGACGACCAGGAATTTAGGCTACTAAAAGTTTTGTTTTAATCAAAGGAACATTGAAAATTGGTATTTCTGCCTCAGCATGCTGCTGAAGTGGATTGCGTATGTCCCCATCTGTGCTTTTCTATGGTTGGTTTTGATACAGTAGATTCAGACTGTGGGCTAGGATTTAATACTAACCAAAATGTTTATAATTTTAGCCAGTACCAATTCAATGCTATTCTTTGAGATCTTCTCTGTGGCTGTGGCATTGTGATATCCCGCAAAGTGCATGGGGTTCTCGATGGTTTTATTTACATGTGGGAGAAAAGGATGAGGGTTGAAGGTTGTGCAAATTCAAAAAAAAATTTATGTGAGAGTATGGGGGGAAATGATTCTTATGAGACATGGCTATTTGTGGAATAATTTATGAAAGCACGTGCAGCTCCAAATAGAGGAAACTTTTGTCGTCATTCTTCCAAGGAAAGACATTCATTAAACCTTTCAGCCAAACCTATGGTATTGTGGGTAGAAGACTAACTGCAGATCAGGAAGGTCTGCTTATAACTGCATAAAGTTAGTGTGTTAAGTTTGCTCAGAAAGGGATGTACATGGACTTACAGCTTGATACTTTCTCTGCTTCTCTGGAGAAGATGCGTAAAGTTACACAGTGGCCTTTGAACGGGAAGGTGCTTTATGGCCTCGATATTTTACTTGTGTTTTAATTTTTATTTAACTTCTTTACTTTTATGTTTTTACAACTGGTCAGCATTGATAAAAATCCTATGCAGTTGATTCAGTGGCTGAATTGTATAGTTCAGTCAATGACTAAAGTGATGAATCAATCTCATGCAGGGTGTTGTATTTTTTTATTTTTGTTTTTTTTTTCCTTCTGTTCTTGTTTGATGGTTAAAATGGCTAATGGTGAATTAAAAGTGAACTCATTAGTTGAGATATTTATCTAGCAATGAAATCAGCCAGTGGATTGGACTGTCCTTTATGATGATTTATATTGCTTAATGTTTTCTAGGCAGCACAACAAATAATTGAACTTCAGGAAGCAGCCCAAATAAATGCAGGATTACAGCCAACTAATCTAGGGAGGAACAACAGCCTCCATGATATGAAGACTGTCGTAAAAACCTGGAGGAACAGGTTACCTATTGTGTCAGATGACTTATCCCATTGGAGCAGCATTTTCATGTGGAGACAACATCATTACCAGGGTAAAACTGCCTGGTCCAGCATGCATTCATCATGTAATTTTCCAGACAACACATTGTTTGAAATAATTTCTTTGTGTTCTTTTTGTTTAAACGTACAGGACTTTTGTGGATTTTTCAACAAAAACAACTGATCGTTTTTGTTGAATTTCCATCTATCCATTCGATTTTCTTAAATCATCGTCACATGTATTTTTTTCTTAAGTCAGATTTTGCTGCGTGCGCAGTTTCATTTCTAATGACAAATATTTCTTGTTTTGCCTGTAGCCATTGTAACTGCCTATGAGAACAGTTCTCAGCACGATCCCAGCTCCAATAACGCCATGCTGGGGGTTCACGCCTCTGCATCAGCAATTATCCAGTACGGGAAGATAGCGCGAAAGCAGGGGCTGGTCAACGTAGCCCTGGATATACTGAGCCGCATTCACACCATCCCGACTGTGCCCATCGTGGATTGCTTCCAGAAAATTCGCCAGCAAGTCAAATGTTACCTTCAGCTGGCAGGAGTCATGGGCAAAAATGAATGTATGCAGGTACGTTAGTCCCTGAAATTGTTGTAACGGCGCAAGGGGCTGGGGGAATTTGCAGTGTTTTGAATAGGTGACCCATATTCAGGGTTTGAATTTGGTCGATCATGTTGTGAGTAAATGAATAAAGTCTTAAGTAACACTATTAGAGTTAAAGAGTCACTGTCCTTTCTGAACTGAATACTGTGATTATTTTAAAAAATAGGCAAAGAAGAGTAAAAGTGAAAGATTTTTAAAAATCTTTTAAGAGATAAATGTAACAGACTTCAAAAATAAGGTTTGCAAGATAACCAATGCTATCACAAGACTAAGTGGAGGTTTTTGAGTGGCTTGCATTGTCTGAGTGGTGAGGAGGGGAGAAAAAAAAAAAAAAAAAAAAAAAAAAAAAAAAAAAAAAAAAAAAAAAAAAAAAAAAAAAAAAAAACCCTGGCATAAGGTCAGCCAACTATAAGGTGGAAGTGCGATAATCCATCATCAAGTAAGCTTTGGCTGTAATGTCTAGTAGTTTTGCATAGGCTAATGTGATATTAAAGTTGGCTTCAGTCCATGTTTTTTTTTAAAGGATAATTAAATAGAAAAAAAAAGTTGAAAACTGTAGAAAATCATCGTTCTGCTTAAATGCTGAGAGGGTATTTTGGCTATTTTTTATGGCACTTCATTTTGATAGAAACTTCTATTTTAGAAGACTTTTTTTCATTAAGACTTTTTTAACAGGGTCTTGAAGTTATTGAATCAACGAATCTGAAGTACTTCACCAAGGAGATGACTGCTGAGTTCTATGCATTGAAGGGAATGTTCTTGGCACAGATTAACAAGTAAGTGTGTTGGTTGGAAGAGGCATTAGCACACATTTAAGAAAAATGCAGCTGAGTAACTTAAACACAATAGTTAAAGCAAGAAAGTTGTTCCATATGTTTATGCAGACTAAAATTTGGCACAGCTGTTAAAGTACAGGCGATTTTTGGTTGCTGTGCAGTTTAAAGATGTAAAGACTAATAATACTTCTAAGTATTATAGGAAGACTAGCTAAAGCAAACATTTTAAAACGCAATCTTAAAAAAAAAAAAAAAAATCAGTTTTGGGAGGAGGGAATAGGGTGAAGGGAGAAAGGATCTACCTGAAGCTTAATAGCTCAATATGCCTTTTTCCCCTTGTGCCATGACTACTTTGTTAGTCAAACTCATGAAGATTCAAGTAATTTTTAGTGTAGTTGACAAAAGGAAGAGCTTAAACTGTCTTTTCAATGTAAACATCATATATAAAACTAAATAAAAAATGCTGTTCAGTCTGTAAGCTTAGAGCTATCTAAAAAAAACTAGCCTACTGCTTTTTTGTTTCTGTATCATTGTATATGTTGCTCTCGTAAGCTATTCAAGACATAAGTAGATGTTGTGGCGTAATTCAGAGTGCTTAGACAAAGCTGCTGTATCATCCAATATGAAAATGTGACACAAACTCATTTCAGATAATTGAATTGGAAAGATTAATGTGGTATGTGTTGGAGACATCTTGCATTACAGCAATTAAAAACACCTAAGTACAAACATTGCTTTCAGAAAATTACCTTTCTAATATCCTTGCTTTATGCTGTCAAATATATTATTACTTTGAGGAGGATCTCTCTTTAATCCAGTAATATCTCAGCAGTCACATTTTGCCTGGTGATACCTTAAAATCACTTCGGATTTCAGTGGCTTTTAGTATACATGATTTTTAATAGCAGTATTACTACATGCTACATATAGGTGGAATCATGCCTTTACCACGCACAGAGCAGACACTGAATCAAATCCATCAGCTTTTAAGCTGTACACGTCAGCTCCAGATAGCAATTTAAGCCAGGAAATGATGAATATCTTTTTCTGTGGATACAAGAGAGAATTTTAAATAGGCAGAATGTAATTACTTTGATGAAAAGTGCAATGAGCTTTTTTTAATGGCAGCAGATGAGCTTAGTTGTAGTTGAGGTGTAAAGAGAAGATAGTTTTCTCTCTCCTCCTCCCTGCCTTTTATTTATTTATTTTAGTGCAGGCAAAAAAAAAGCAAGTAGCTATAATTGTGCATTTCTTCAGAAAAGGGTGAGTAATGGGCTTTATTTAAAACACAGTTCTAATTTATTTACAGTTTGCGAATCTTGCCAAAAATCAGCACAGACATAGGTTAACACTGCAGTCGCATACAGTTAGGAAGAATGGCCGGGGGTTGAAGTGCAGCCCTTAAAAAATTCCTGCTGCCCTGACACTAGCAAAAATTCTGAGTTAAAGGTCACCTGTGGTGTTGCAAGTCCCTGAGCTGCCCCTTCTCTGAGCAAGGGGATAGAAACCATATTAAAAAAGCCATCTCAGGTGTCAGGAATGATAGATAGTAGAGAGGGAGAAAAGAAAATCTAGTGGAAAATCCTGTTGTTGTAAAAGGGAAGCAGTGATACCAAGTCATTTATCAGGCTGCTCCCAGGGCAGTCTGCTTCTGGACCTCAAAGGATAGTGCAGGAAGCCATGTGAAGAAAACAGCCTTGTGTAACATAGAAACTAACCTGCACTTTGACAGATAAAGTTATTTTCCTTTTTATCATTTTAACCCCATAGGTTAGTCATTTTATTTTGTTCATTCTTGCACACTATGATTCTCCAAGTGAATAATATTTTTATATTTTTAAGAATGACACAAACAAACTGTACTTTACTTAGGTGCTGTTTATCTAAATGCTTAATCTGTTAGAGAAAAGTGGAGCACTTCTGTATTAAAGGATTGCAGAATGCTTTAAAAGCTCCTTCAGTTCAATAATGTATATATGAGTTTCCTCATCCTTTTGTGCCTGAAATGTTAATGCATATTCTACAGGATTACATGGATTCAAGGGTTGTATTTACCTTGGGATGAATCATGCTAAACTTTAAACTAGGAGCTTTTGAGGAAACCTAGAGAAAACTTTAGAATTATCAGGTTAATACACTAAAACACATTTTTCGGAATCCAAGAGCTGTATGACTAGCCTTCATATTCCTTCAGTTTTTGCTGTTGAAAAGTAAACATTTTAGTTGTGGAATTAGAATCTGACTTTTTCTAGATAATTTTGATTGTAATTTTTTTCATTGCTGGTGTGGGTAAACAGTTAAGTAAAGTGTACTCTGCTGAAGAATAGCTAATAGGACATCTTCCCAAATTTGCCTTTTTTCCCAAGTGTAGTTACTTCTCATTGAGCTACTTAATGGAAACAGGCTCAGGTTGAGTCAGTTATAAGAGTACAGATAACAGATGTAAGCTGTAATATAGCTGCTATTAAAGAACTTCTCGGGTAAAAGAGAGGGAAAGGCAGTGTTTCTTTTATACTCTTGATCCCATCTGTACTCTTTCGTGTAGTGACTGTTCATGTGGGATATCATTAGTGTGGAGTATTCCACATGCTCATGGGATCAAGGAATAAGAGGATAAGTGGCAGGATAGGATTCATTACTAAGCTGGGGTATCTTGTATATTGGTAGTAGCTGAGCACTTGATAAAAATAGTTTTTTGTTTCTAAGCAATGGAAGTTTTTTAGTATGTTAGAGAGTATCTGGATATTTTAAATGTTTATGTAATTGTTCCCATTATGAAACATTTTGTTTCATAGGTTCTGAATGTTAAAGTAAGCAATCATAACAGCTTGGTAGAGAACTTAGTGGAAAGGTGTCATTCAGTATTAAAAAAGTGGTTGAGTTACCCTATTAGATTTCTTCTGTCTCTTAGGTAATGCAATAACTTTGTATTGATCCAAACGAATATTCACTGTTGTCACAATGCAGGTCTGAAGAAGCAAACAAAGCTTTTTCTGCAGCTGTGCAGATGCATGATGTGCTAGTGAAAGCCTGGGCCATGTGGGGAGATTACTTGGAGAATATCTTTGTGAAAGAGCGTCAGCTCCACCTGGGTGTATCTGCTATTACTTGCTACCTGCATGCATGTCGTCATCAGAATGAGAGCAAATCAAGAAAATACTTAGCAAAGGTAAGATCTCGACATTACAAAAACAAAACAAAACAAAACAAATGACATTACAAAAAAAACCAAGCCAAACCAAACCAAAAAAAAAACAACAACAATAACAAAAAATAAAACAAAAAAACCCCAAAACAAAACAAACAAAAAAACCCTGGAGCTCCACCCCTTCAGAAGAGGCTGGGTACGTGTTGATATGCCCATTAGTGGAGGTTCAGTTACTGACTGACAGGTTTGATTTAGACTCCAAGTTTACTGTAAGGACTGTAAAGGATCATTACATATCCCATGATTTTTCCTACTTCATCAGGATATCTTCCTGTTTGTTTTTTTTTTTTTTTTTAAGTGGGTCCTTTTTATCTGCAAGAGAAAGGGAGAAATTAATTATGTTCAGCATTTCCACTGTATTATGCAATTATGTGGTGCTTTGAAAATTATTGTGGATTAGTATCTGTTTATCATCATTTTAAAATTAGTCAAATATTTGGCAGGCACAAGAATAGAATTGACAGCAATTTCTTGTTCTACTTTTGCATTTCAGCTCTGTATAGGCACCTTTTCCAGCTCCTTACTTGGGGTCAACTTAGAGCTGCTCTTTCTCCCTCAGTGATAGTAACCATGGATTGCTACAGTTGCAGTATCAGCTTAATTTAATCTTTATTTTGTCAAGCAATCTTCTGACAAAATGAATGCTTATTTTTCTGAAATTTTCTGTACTATTTTTTGGTTTTAGTACATTAGTTACTACTGCATTTGTGTCCTCCTGTTGACTATTAATGCTGTGCTGTCCAATCCCCAAGTTTTACATAAGCTTTGGCACTTGCAAGTATTCCATATAAGACAGTATCGTATTAATAAAGTGTCACTTTTTCCTGCATAATCCAAATGACACATTCTGAAATTGTTTAAGCCCTGAGATGTCCTCTTGAAACTACCTTTTAGGTTCTGTGGCTCCTGAGCTTTGACGATGATAAGAACACCCTAGCAGATGCAGTGGACAAGTACTGCATCGGTGTCCCGCCGATCCAGTGGCTGGCCTGGATTCCCCAGCTGTTGACGTGCCTGGTTGGCTCCGAGGGCAAACTTCTGCTCAACCTCATTAGTCAGGTAGGTACAAAAGAACATTAGTTCTTTCCTTTCAAGTTGAGATGTAAATATTTCTAAAAGCAAATTAAGGGAATGCTAAGCTTTAACAGTGATACTATTTGTACCTTCTGTGGAGTGAGCTGGGGAGCGTTCATTTCTCTCTGCAAGTAGAATATTGTTATTTCCAGAGTGAGTGTTACTTAGTGAGATTAAATCCAGTGAAACTGTATGCCATATGTGCAAGAAACATTATAGCTTTCCCGCTGAAATTTATTTATGATACGTTGTGAACATTATGGTACATGTACATTCGGAAATGTATAGTTAAATGTTTGTAATGTAGGAGTAGGGATAAAGAATTTAGTGTCTAAATGAAGAAGCTTTTATTAGTGCTTTGTTTTTTATTATATGTGATTTTTTTTAAAAAAAAGACCTCTGGCTGTCACCATCAGGAAGCTTTGCAGAGACTCCGTATATTTTCATGCTGAGTGTAATCCATCAAGTGATTAGAAGAATAAGGATAAAGTTTAGGGAGTTAGCTGAAGAATCTGCCTTCCTGAATTTGTACCTGCAGACTGACAGATGAGCTTTGATTAATCTTGCTTTGGGTTTTAAGATTTTACTGTCGTATTCTGCCTGTTCTGAAGCAAAGTTAGTAAAACAGACAGTGTACCTGTATTTCAGTATAAAGTTGCTATTTGGGATTTACCTGAACTACTGGAAAATCTGTGACACTTTTCATATTTTTTCAAGATAGTTTTGTTGTTGCTTAGTGTGAACAGGATTCAACACGCTATTTTTAGAGATGTTACCTGTTCACTGATGAGCTTAAGCTCTGTGTTAGCACACCCAAACTCTGGCAGCATTTCGATATGTCCATTGACTCAGGTTAGTCCAAATCTATTGTGAAGCCCTATTAACATGCAGGTGAACATATGAAGCTCTCCTGTTAACACGCACTTCACAGTTCCCTGAAAACTAGCCAAGGAAAACTGTTGCTCTGAGTTTCTTACCTAGTATTTTTCTTTCCTTTCCTCTACCCTGGATTTTTGAGATGTTCAGCTCCCTTCATACTTCTTCCTTACCATCCTTTGTTTCAGATCTGTGAGAAGAGAATGTGTATTCTCATGGAGACAGAATACGTCCCATGTGCTTGTGCATGTAATGCATATGTGATGTGTGTATATGTAGGCATATGCATATTTTTTTCTGTTTTCCCTTCTCTCTGTAAAATCAAAGTGAAATTTTGAAGAGGTCATGCACCCAAGCAGCTTGAGGAAGCAAAGTAACTAAAGCAAGACATCAGATATGATATAGCTTGGTATTGTCTTGCAACACCAGTGTGCTCATGTGCTTCCTGATGGCAGACAGATAAAACCTATTCCAGTGAGTTGTAGAGATGTCTGTTTTTATTTAGCTCTTCTGTGTAAAATTTTCAGAAGTTATCACCTATCCAGAAGCCCTACTGTGGGTAAAGTTCAGGCTCATAAATATCCCATTTTGATAATCTTACTTTAATCTTTATGTTCATAGAAGGAATGTGCAATTAAAAAAACAGTCTTTGTGTTTTACTGATGTGAAAGTGTTTTACTGCTTTGAAACCAGAAGTTTGCAGAGGAAGTAGAACCTCGCCTTTACAATTCTATTTATGTGACTGCCAGCGTGAGCCAAATGTTGTGGGTAAAGTTCAGGCTCATAAACATCCCATTTTGATAATCTTACCTTTAATCTTTGGGATCATAGAAGGAATGTGCAATTAAAAATCAGTCTTTGTGTTTTACTGATGTGAAAGTGTTTTACTGCTTTGAAACCAGAAGTTTGCAGAGGTAGTAGAACCTGGCCTTTACAATTCTATTTATGTGACTGCCAGTGTGAGCCAAATGTATGTTATGTTACTGGCATCAGTATCATGTTACTGAACAGTGAATTGCCACTGCCACTTACCTCATGCATTTGGATGCCACAACAATACGTAATTTAATAAAATTATGGCTAGAGAAGTCTCGTCGTGTCTTGAGATGTGTTCTTACCATCAGCAGTACTTAACTGCATTGTTTCTTTCCTTTAACAGATACTGAGATTTATAGATTTTAAAGAGGATGCAGAGGATTTAGCTTTTTTTTATTTATTTTTTTTGAAGCTTTTCTGTTGTTGTTAAATTGGTATCCCCTTACATTAAGTGCAGCAATTAGGTGGAGTACAGTTGCTCTCTAATGGGCCTTCTTATCATGTAGTATTGGGCCCTGGGAATTGTGGTCTAATTTAAAGATGAGATGGTGTCATTATATCTGTTTTTGTTCTATTATGTGTGTGAGTAAGATCTTTGAGCTGGCATGGGTTCTGTAGCATTATGTTGCTTTCAGATTTATTAGGCAATATGATATGAAAGCCCTAATTAGGTGTGCCTTAACAGCATGTGTAGAGAGTCACCATTTAATCCTTTTTAGGTTTCTGTTACTGAAATGGTCTTTAATGTCCTAGTTTTCCATAAGATGTTACTTAAAACGAGAAAATAATTATTACTGATGCACATTCATTTTAAAAGGAGAATCTCTACCTGATCTATAGTTTATTTACATTAACATGAGAAAATAGCAAATGTATGTATATCTTCAAATAGGTGGGAAGAGTATATCCCCAGGCTGTCTACTTCCCTATCAGGACCCTTTATTTGACCTTGAAGATAGAACAACGAGAGCGCTACAAAAGCGGTGAGCTTGATAACAAGAAAATTGTTCAGGCTTTTTTGGAGTTCACGTTTTGCAGCTTAGTCACTCCTGTGTGTTTTACCTGATTTTCTTGGGAAAATAGGTGTGATTAAGTTGATATGCTGATATGTTTTGTAGAGAGAAAAGTCTTCATCAACTTTGTTTGGGTTCTGATTGTTTCTGTGAGGTTAAGTCTACAGAGGGCTTGACCTGTCTTGAAATTTTTTGAATAAAAATATTGAGCAAAAAGAGTTCCATCTACTTTAGTCTTGTGTCATCCTAATTATGGAGAATAACACATTTGTTGCTTTATCTAGCTGTGGAGGTAGAAAATTCACAGATTATAATAATTCATAGACAGAAGAGAGTCATTGTTTTCTAAGTAAGCTGTTCCCATCTAATTTTGATCAGAAATGTGAACCATGTGGCATTCTCTTTCCTTTTGAATGAATCAAATATCTAAAATAATTTAACCAAAGACCAGTTCATGTAGCTCAAGTGAGATAAACTGCTTCTTGTGAATAATCCGTGCTTCAAGATTTGCAAAATTATTTCTTATGACTAACTCTCAAGTAAAATGAGCATCTAAGTTAACACAAAATGGAAGCAATTTCTGTTCCGAGCAAGTGTATGGGAAGTGAGGAGAACACTCAGGAATTTGCACACCACTTTTTCAAGATAAAATCCTATTTCAATTCTCTATATGATGCAATTCTACAAATCTTCCTGTTCTTTTGTCCCATATAATTTCTTAGAAATCTCAGGAAAGAAACTGGAGGAACTTTCCTTTCTGTTCATTGTTAGGAAGTGCATTGTTTAGTTAATTGCCCGTTTCACTTGTGAAGCAGTCCATTAAATTTCTGCATAAAAATGTAAATGGCACTACTTAAAGAATGCCTCATTTTTGTTGAGTGCTCATTTGGCAGAGGAAGAGGTGCTCCCGTGTAAGACTAATAGAAGATATTTTCATTAATAACGTTTTCTTTTGGTTCCTTCAATAACCAGCGACAGAGCTGTACTTTGCTAAATTCTTCAGACTGCCGGATACCATGACATCTAGCAAAAGTTTTTTTCTCTTGATTGTGCCACAAACTATTGATATATTGGAGGGCTAGATGAGGTCTCTAAAATCTGATGTTTGAAGTAGCGAGTGATAATCCAGTCAACCAAAACTCAGTGTGTAACCACTGTGTGATATAGTTGTGAGATACACTTTAAGATAATTTGCATGTTGTTGGCATCAGCATGTTTATTCCCTCAGTTATTTGTGAGAACTTAACCAAAAGAAGGAAGGAGTGTCAGAATGAGTATAATTTAAGTAATTGAATCCTATATGAAAAGATGTCAATTACTTCAAGAGCTCAGTTCAATAGTGTAAAAAGCTAAAGCTACACCTCTTGTTTTTGAAGAGTGCTTATTTTGCTCTAACTTCAGGAAGTCTGTACCACTGAACACCATTTGGAGTAGAGTTTTCTTTCAATAAAATCTAATTTTTCTGTGACTCATTAGATAATATATGATTAACATTTACACTAACATCAACATAGAGTAAATATAAAACAAATTTTGGAACAACTTATTTTATCTTATGCATTCATATATCACACTTATCAAATTTATTTTATTCTTTACTTTTGTTTTGATTTTTTTGTTGTGCTTTCCAGATTCTGGGCAACAACAGCCAAGTTCTGTTGGAAATCAGTCCCATTCCGCTTCCGACCCTGGGCCAATCCGAGCCACGGCCCCAATGTGGCGGTGCAGCCGAATTATGCACATGCAGCGGGAGCTGCATCCAACGCTCCTGTCTTCTCTGGAAGGCATTGTAGATCAGATGGTCTGGTTCAGAGAAAATTGGCACGAAGAGGTATTTGGCTTCAATGTGACTTCATATTTATATAATTTGTAAGGAAAAGTTAGCTGTGACATATTTATCTAGAATTATGTTTAAATACTAAAATATATATATTTGTTTTGTTCAGTAAACTGATGTATTTCTGTAACTGACAGTTCTTGGTGGAGTTTCAAGGAGTTTAATTGTTTCTTCCCAAAGACACTTCCCCACATTGTTAGTGTGATAAATGCCTCAGCCGTTGCTTGTATTAACCCGAAATTTTTATTCTTATGATAAGTTTTGGGCATACTGTTTTTCCTCTTGATCTGGTGGTCTGACAGGTGGTGATTATTGTCCAAAGTTTGAGCAATATCAAAGAGTAGATGGACCTCCTACTCCATTTTTATTGTTTGTTTCTCATAGTTGTAGGCTGTTCTGTTTTGTCCACCTAGCACACATTTAATAGGACCTGTTTGAAGAAGGTTTCCTTGTACCACATTGGTTTCTAATCTATCACAAAACACAAACTCTAAAACCTAGCTGCTGTTAAAAGAGCAAGACTCACCTCATGATACAGTATTTTTGCTGTTCAGTTTGGTAATTTGCGGTGCTGATAAGAATCAGTGCTGTCATTCTGTGTGACCCTTTGGTCCCATATAATTATACAACTTTAAGTAAATATTTCTGAGAGAATATCTTTGCTATAAATAATTATATCTATTTTTATATACGTGTATGTATTTTTAATTCTTAGGTTCTTAGACAACTGCAGCAGGGCTTGGCGAAGTGCTATTCAGTTGCCTTTGAGAAAAGCGGAGCAGTTTCGGATGCCAAAATCACTCCTCATACGCTGAATTTTGTCAAGAAGTTAGTGAGCACTTTTGGAGTAGGTCTTGAGAATGTGTCTAACGTGTCCACGATGTTTTCGAGTGCAGCCTCAGAATCACTAGCCAGGAGAGCACAGGCGACAGCTCAAGACCCTGTGTTTCAGAAATTAAAAGGACAATTTACAACAGGTAAATTTTTAGAACATATTCTTATTTCTTTTTCTTTTAATCTCCAGAGGTCTTTCCCTTTCTCCTACCCTCAAAGTTTATCTGTGAAAGCATCCTTTTTTTTTTTTTTTAAACTACTTCCTATAGAAGGGTATATAGGGTATAGAAAAGAGCAGTTTTCTGCCATTTCACAAAACCTGGAATATTTTGTCTGTTAATTTCTCTATGGAGTAACCATTACATGAGTTTAAACTTCACTAGTATATTGCTGTATATTCATTACTGTAGCTATGATCAAATTATGTATGTCTTTAAAGAAAAATTAGAGTAGGTCATTATAATATTCCTACATTTTGCGTAGAATTACCTGCCAGAGATGAACAAAATAATGGTCTGTACTATATGGTAGATGACAGGACTTTAATGAAATTTTCACCCCAGAACTCCAAACTAACGGTATTGTATGAAGCCTTTTAACATAGGCTACTTCTGATGAGTAAGATTACTTTAGTGTTTTGGATAGCTAGATTATAAAGATCTCATTATACAAATTGAGATAATTGTTAGGTGGTAAATTGAATCAATAACTTTTATTATAGCTGATTAAAGAGCCACTTCAGGGAAGTAGCTTGTTTGCTTCATTCAGCTCTGTTTATTAGTGGAGTTATATATTTTATGAATATCTGGTCTTGATTTAATATAAGAAAAATCATTCTACAATACCATGTGTTTTTTCGTATCTTGCTGAAAAGTGTTAAGACTATATCAGCTATATATAATAGAAGCTGACATATATTGGCATTTAGTGGATTGCCAGGACGGTGGGGTTCTGTAGTCCTATCTACAGTTTTTCCTTCAATAGGACTATAAAATTAGATAAAAAGGAATAGTTATATCTTCCTAAATGGAAGAATTCAAACTAATTATTTGTTCGTAATTGGAAACATAGAATTTCAGTGAAGACCTGCGTTTTCATCATCTTTTGAATCCACCTTTCTCCTTACCCTCCTGGGAGTGTCACTTGGATGATCCTGCAAGTGTTAAACTCCCTCATCTCAACTTTCACAGCTGGTGGAAAAACATCCCCTTTCCACATCAAGGCGATTCCTCTGCAAAAGTGAAACTTGCTTTGACAAATTACTCTCTTTAGAATTCTAAGTTAAGGCAGCCTTAAATATTTGAGGTCAGCAGAGCTACTGAGAATTCGCAGTTTGGCAAGTAGAGTTTCAGTGTGGGTGGGTGTGTGTGTGGTCGTTTTTTTTGTTTATTTGTTTCCCCTCTTCAAGCATTTTCCTGATAATGTTGTGGAAAAAAGTGAACTGATGGGAATCTTGTGAAAGCAACTCATATATATGACCTAGATATCTTGTGCACATTCTGTTTTGCATGATGTCTTTTTGAGGCACAACAGTTGCATGACAGTGGATAATGAAAGTCCTGGAGCATATGATTAAATTTAATGGATGAAGGCTACTACTAGGGAAGGAGGTGGTAGTTGAAACATTTTGTGTGCCTGTGACTGAAGATGATGGGGAAATGGCACACATCTGCCCTTGTTTTTCATCTATAGTAATGATTTGTAACTCTGTACAATGCATTAACAGTCTAGGCACTTTTTCATTGCGATAAATGTTGCTAATGTGCATGGTTTGGGGTTGGCTTTCAGTTGTTTTGGTCTTTCATGGTTCCTCTCTGTTTTTTTCCTACAAGAGACGAGTGTTAGGGAGATCTGGGGTTCCATGAGTTGTAAAGGGAAACTCAAACACTAGGCTCAAGTCTGCAAAATATAGAATAAGGTTTCAAAACATTTCTGGAGAACCACTTTTAAAAACTTAATTACAGCCCAATTATATTTTTTAGTGAAAAAAAAATCAATTTCTACACGCTGCTGTGTACTTTGCTCCATGCCTTTATAAATGGCATTTAAAGTTTTCAGGTTTTGTAACTTATCACAGCATTTATAAAAAAAAATGCATGAATTGGCATAGAAAATAACAAAGAAAAAATGCAAGGTGACTGTGAAGCATTTCCTAGTAAATTTCAATATAAAAATACATAATTATTCTCTGCTTCTTTTGCTGAAGATTTTTCATTTTATTTTTCAATTATAACAAAACATGAATGGCTACCAGATTAAAATCATTATTTTACTTAATAGTAGATTAGATTTTTATTTTAATCTATTAAACTCAGTGTTTAATTCATAAATGAGATGCAGGGGAAAAGATGAAATTAAGCTGATTATGCAGTTTTATAACTCATTATGCAGAAAAAAGCGTAAGTTTTTGATTTTATAACAGTAAAATGTACATAACTAAGAACTGCAATTAACTCACTGAACATAAAGACTGTGTTAACATCCTCTGAAACATCTTTTAAATCATGTTGCTTTTGCCCTTTTCTCACACTAGAAAAGTTGCTGGTGCTCTGATCTCAGTATCAGCTGCATCGACATTGTAGAGATATAATTGCAGTGGCTGCCTTGTATTGCAAGAGCATCCAAGCCAAGAGCTGTTTGAGTAAAATGTTTTCTTTAGATATTTCCAGATTAATGTTGACAGCAAAGTTTTATAGACACTTTCAGCTCTGTTTAGTTTCATAACCTCTCCCACCAACACCTGAGATGCATCTTGGTTCCTGCAAATTACAGGTGGGGAAGTGGGGGATCCATTAGGGACTGGCACACCAGTACTTAGTTGCTAAGTTCTTTGTCTGCAGCACACTGAACCACCAGAGCTTTGTGCGGTCATCTATTTCCAAACTAACATTATGTATTTCAAAAACAAATTTTACTTTGAAAAGACTTCTTTTCTGGAACTTCTGGTACCTCGTTGTTTGTTCCTTCTCTCCTTTTCTGCTACACCTTTGACATCAAAGAACAGGCAAATACTGAGAAATGCTCCCTTTAGAGAACTCACTCAGCAGTGAAAAGAGGATAAAAACATCCCCAAATGTTCTTTTTTTTGGGCAGATGATAGGGTTTAGAGTTTGAATCAGTGCTTCTTTCTAACCTTCTCTCTGCCAAATTGAATTCTGGTGAAGCCTTCTACAATATCCTTCTGAAAGGGCAAGGTAGGTCTCTTGAAAATTTGGCACTCAGTACAATGGATTCTCTTCTGTGAATAGCAGCTTTGTAATCAGAAAGAAGTTAAGTATCTTCTTGAGGTCTTTGTCTTTCCCTGAAGTGAGGGGAGAGGGCACAAAAAGGAGCTGCTGTTCATTTCCAGCTTCTCAAAGGAACTTTTCTTCCCGTAAGCAAAAAGCACAGCATTACTTGGATGGGTCTTTCTGTACTTCTGCTGTAATTATTAGATAACAGGATGTCATCCTGAAAATCCAGATCAAGGGGCTGGAATTACTGTCATGATGATTGACCTTGGTCTGGTCTTTGTAGTCTTGGGTTTCTGGAGTTGAGTGATAAACCAGAAGTCTTGTGTCGTATTTCTCCAAACTGCTTTCTTAACTCTCATTGAGTTATTTTTCATGTTTGTTTAGTGCTTTCTAACTAACATGTATTATCTTGTGAAGGTCTTCTCCAGTAGGAAGCACTATAAAACTGAATTTGTTTGAAACAAAGCCATTAGTTTTCTGCTAGCAAAGCAGGCTATCTTAGTACAGCAGGGAATGTCTGGTATTGCATTTTCTTTTCTCATAGCTGATTTTTTTTGTTTTTCCTCACATGGGCTCTGTGTGACAGGAACAAAAAGACTAATTGAACTCTGTTATTCCCATCTGCCACTAGGAAACAAAACAACAAAAATCCTAGAACAGGTATGCCAACAAACTGGAGGTATAGCAAGGATGAACTGAGTAGCAATTTTTGAAGAAATACGTAATATTGATGCATACTCTTACTATTTGGGTAATTCACATATTAGCACAAAAGCTACTTGCAATTTGGGAGTACTTTTACACATTTCAGGGAGTCAGGAGATAAATGATTCAATAATTTTGGCACTTTCATTAAGTGATTTACTCCCACTGCTCACTAGAGGGTAGGCTTGAGATTATAATAAATGTTTTACAGTGATATTGCAGTAGGTGCACTGCCTGTGCAAAGAGAGATGAAAGCACTGCTGAGTGATAATTATTTCTAACATCCATAATAAGGAAGAGTTTTTCATGAAATATTTTTCCATATAAAAGTGGAAATATTTTTGTATGTATTGGCTTTTTTGATCAGTTCTTGGTTGATAGATTTAAGATTTTCACTGAAAGCCTTGAACATATGAGTACTGCTCTGCTCCAAATAGACTGTGTTCTCAGACTTTAAGTTACAGAAGAGCAAAATGAAAGGAATCCTATGTTGCACTATATTATTTAGTAAGAGCATCATAAATGTGCAAAGTGGAGAAATCTAAGAGACAGTGAGGATGAACAAAGAGGTGTATGAACTCTTATTGCTAAAAGAAACACTCTTATTGTTAAAAGTATTTGTTTGCAGAAGTGAGTCTTGTGGATGATCAGTTTTGTGTGGTTTTAATTGTAGCTGAAAATTTCTTTTATATCCAGTAATTACTCTGTGCATATACTTCGTTAATTGCTACCACATTTGCAGGTAAGTGTCATAGAATATTTGTGTGGCTGAAATCATTTCACCTCTGAGTAGCACTCAGGATTGTTTTGTTTTTACTTTTGTCAGCTTAGAAAAGTACTGTATGTATGTGACATACAGAACAGTAGCTTCTGTCATAAGGGTCAAGTTCCTCTTAGAGTTAATTTTCTATTGTATTGAAACATAATGAAGATAATGATTGTTCTGCTTTAACTGTAAAACTTGGAAGTACTGAGTTGGTGTTCTCTGCCTTGCTTTTCTACTTGTAAAATGTTGAACTTAAAATCGCATCAGGTTAGGCTCTTTTATAGAAATGTATTTTAAGAAATCAAATCTGTTAGTTAACTTGTGCAATTTTGAATGCCGTAACTAATGAGGTTCCTGTAGACACTGTTTTATATCTTTGCAGATTGTATTTCATCTCTAGCTGTAGTGAAATGAACCGTAGTTTTCTCATTTGTGTATGTGGCTTATTCATTCTTTCTCATTTGGGAAAGATCTGTGGAAAATTTAATCTATTTATTTGCTGTGTTCTGAAACTATAATGAGAGCAGTGTTGAGAAGATTGCATTGATGTTTGCCCAGAAAATGGTGGATGTTCCAAGGATTATTTTTACAGATTTAACTGCATAGAAGACCGACCTTGAGAAAGTTCTTACCTCGCTGGCGTACGTGCTGGGGTAGAGTGCCACGCTGGAATGCTGTTATGTCGCCAAGGAAAGAGCAGTCTGTTTGCATAATGTTGTCATTTTTGCTCAGGCTGTCATATCTGTTCTCCCTGCGGTGGCAGACAATTGTTATCTGAGCAGGGAAAGAAGAAAGAGAATATTCTTGCAGCTCCGAATAGAAGAATAGTAACAGCAATTTTACTGCTTGTCCTGGAGTTGCTCACAGATTGCACGTTATATCCTCTGTTGAGGTTCTTTCATCTCTTAGAAGTAAAAACCCTCCACTGGATTTAAATAAATAAATCACTTTTAATGAAACGGGCAAAAATATAGTTCTAGACTGTAAAATAAGCTTACTTTTCTCTTTCACTAAATGATCTGATCTAATCTAATCCATTGGTTTATTACTGCATTCTTTCTATGCTGTCTGTCTGTTTGCAGTATCTGGCAGTTAAATACAATAATACTATTCAGAATTTTCCCAGTACGTTTTGTCAATGTTGATGTGACTGTAGAGTAGAAACTCTGAAAATTCCATGAGTTACCAGTTAACAGGGTATCTGAGAACTGCGCGTAGAAAGAGGTGGTATGTTCGAATAGGTTTAAGTTGTATATAATTTTAGGATGCTACTTTTTTTTTTTTTAACAATAAGACTGAAATTTCTAACAATCTGACTTACAGCTAGTACAACTCTTCGTGTATCTGTTGTTTGCACTTTTGTGTTATAAGATTTCTTCTTCAGCATCTACAGTCCTAGCATTACTGCTGATGTATGACCCTATACCAATTAAGCCCTGGTTCTTTATAATTCTTACATCTCTTCTGTGTTTCCTTGAGCCAGCCACCTTTTCCCTGTGTCCAGGATTCTTTGATAGATGTGTTTCTGTAATGGACTTGCTTGGTAGTTTGGGTTTTATTTTTTTGCTAAGCTGATGATTGTAATAGCCAGCTTTTCACTTTACAATGTTCAAGACCAGTGTGATACTTTTAAAAATGTTTAATACATAATAGATATGTGTGCTGTATGTGAGGCTTCTGAAAGTATTTTGCTTAAGGGCAAGTGGCTGAAAGAACCTCTTTTAAAATGCTGACTTCAAACAGCTGGTAGTTAAATATTCCACATGGAATTTAACAAGCTGAGGATATATATATATATATATTTTTTTTTTTTTTTTTAGACTTTGACTTCAGTGTACCAGGTTCTATGAAACTTCACAATCTTATCTCTAAACTGAAGAAATGGATCAAAATTCTGGAGGCAAAAACTAAACAGCTTCCAAAATTCTTCCTCATAGAGGAAAAGTGTCGTTTTCTAAGTAATTTTTCAGCTCAAACTGCAGAAGTAGAGATACCTGGAGAATTCCTTATGCCAAAGCCAACACATTATTACATCAAGATAGCAAGGTAAGCTATGACTGGGGAAAGGATGGCTGTAATTCTGAAAATGGAGAAGAAAATTGAGGCTTCCTGCATCTGCTCTTTGCAAAAGTAGATATACTAAATATTTCATTGTATTTAAATTGCACATCTAAACTTATATTTCCTTGGCAGATTTTGGTACAGGGCTCTTTTGATAATTTTACATTGTCTCACTAGGCAACTCTGCTATTTCTTACGTGAAGGTGATAGTTGGATTTATTTTATGTTTTAAATTGAGAGTATTTCCTTTAATATAGCCAGTAGAAAGACTATTCTTTGGAATAGGGATCGAGATCTGATCTAATGATTAATATTGATCAAGAACTATGCTCTCAAAAAGAGAACACATAGAAGAAAATCTTTTTGACTGCAAAATAGAAATCTTGAATTATTTGGATAGTAGAGCTGTACATTGTAATTCATTTACACTGCCTTATATATTTGTGGGTTTTTTTGTTTTTGTTTTTTTTTATATATTTTTTTTTGCATGCTAATTTAATGTCGCAGGGGATTGGCTTAGGTGCTTTAATCCCTCTTTCCTCCTGATAGGTTTATGCCCAGAGTGGAGATAGTTCAGAAGCACAACACTGCAGCCAGAAGACTCTATATCCGAGGCCATAATGGCAAGATTTACCCGTATCTGGTAATGAACGACGCTTGCTTGACAGAGTCCCGGAGAGAGGAGCGGGTATTGCAACTCCTTCGCCTTCTGAATCCCTGCTTAGAGAAAAGGAAGGAAACTACAAAAAGACACTTGTTTTTTACAGGTACTACAAAGAGAGGTTTCATACTATTTTATACATTATATTATATATGTTGTATTCATTAATCAGTGTTATACTCAAATATTATAATTGCTATGTTTGCTTGAGAGCTACCACTGACACTGAATTTTTTCATTCAGAAGTGTAAATTCACATGTCTAGGGGATGTCTAGATGTCTAGGCTTCTCTGGCTGCACTCTAAATAATGTCATTTAATCATCTACCCCTCAAATAGGATCAAATTTCCCTGCAGTTTTTGTGGATCACTTTACATGTCCTAACCTCAGTACTTTCATTCTTCAGAGTCATTTCTAGTGAAATGACACCATTGTTATGTAACCACGTGCTAGAAACCTCTGTGGAATAATGAATGTTCATTTTTTTGCAGAGATGGTTGAGATGTTTCAATTTAGTTAAACTAAAAATTCGCTCTCATTTTCTTTTTAACTGAGATTGTGCATTTGTTATGAATATAGTAACAACAATCTTCACTGAACACACCTCAGTTGATTATCACAGGAGTGTTTTAAGGGCTGATACTTGCATGCTGATTCTTCACTTAGTGTTTGGTTTATGGATTAACTATTTTGTTCTGCTTTCTCCACCCCTACCCTGGTCCTCCTTTCCCCTTCTCCAACTCCCCTTAGTCCCTCGTGTTGTAGCAGTTTCTCCACAGATGCGTTTGGTGGAAGACAATCCCTCTTCTCTTTCACTGGTGGAGATCTATAAGCAACGCTGTGCCAAGAAGGGCATTGAGCATGACAACCCTATTTCTCGTTACTATGACAGGCTGGCAACGGTCCAAGCACGGGGAACTCAAGCTAGTCATCAGGTATTAGAAATATATAATGAATTTTATTCAACCTTTTTTCTTAAAAACTCTTATTATATTTATTATCCCTCCACCTTCTCCATCCTCCGTAAGACAAACATATTGGGGAACTTTTTCATTTCATGAATATTTTAGATAATCTTGGAAAACCTCAGAAAGGTGTAGGTTTTTATTTGTATCTGCAATCAAAAAAGGACAAGGGTTTGATAGCTTTTGGGTCCTTCTGTATAGTTAGTTTATATAGTTTGTGAAAATACTGGGTTGATAGCATTGGAAACAGCATTTCTACTGTACGTAAGGGAGCCTTCCCATGTTCCTCTAATGGAGCTCTGAAAAGTGGCAGTGCAATAATTTGACCCCACTCAAGTAGAAAGAGTCCACTGATCTCATGCTAATAAATGATACTCCTGGGAAAGTGCAAAGCTCCTTCTCACTGTAACCTTCATGAAGTATCTAATTCTGATCAATTTGCTTTTTTTTCTTAAGGTTAAGGCAAATTCTCATACAAAATACTAGTCCTATTTAAAATACAGCTATTAGAGATACACAGTATATGTATATCATAGGCATCATTTACAGAAATGATCTTTTCAGACTTTCACTGTTACAAAATCAGACGAAGTATTACGTAACTTCTGTTTCTATTTTGAGAATTTTCCTTCAGGTTATGAAACTGTCTTTAACAGACATTTAATTGAAGTCAGTGTGATGATCATTCTTTCTGGTACAATAGAACAGAACCTAACTTACTTCCTTTTTCTAATTAATTAGGCTAGTATAAGCTACAGTAATTAAATATTATGGATAGATAGCAGATGTTTAAACCCAGGGAAAAACTATGGCACAGTATTACTTTGCAGAGAAAGATTAAGGTATCTCTCAGTTTTTGTCTGTGTGTTTCTTTTTTTCTTTTTTTTCTTTTTTTTTTTTTGAGGTAATCTTGTAATCTTGCTGTAATAATACATTCAATGAATTATTTTACCCAGACTGTTTCCCTATCTTCTGTACAATAAATATCCTCCACTTTCTTCTGATAAACTAGCCCGTATGCAAAGAAACCACAGCAAACATGTACATTCTCAGGTTCTTGTCTCTGTAGGCCCCATGTTTAACTTCAAAAGTTGCCATGTTGCCTTCTTCTCACTAACCCGTTAATCTGAGCAATTTTTTTGATTTCATCTTAAGGAAGAGCTTAATACAAAGCTCTTTGAAAAAGGTAGGAGTTAAATTGGTGCCCAAACAACCTTTTTAACATTGGATTTAAGAATGATATTTACATCCTGCAATAAGTAAAGGAGATTTTTTTAGTGAGGAGACATTATGTACTTTAAAGTGGAAAAATGTGAATTGGGTTGCTCATATACAAAGTTCAGGATATTGATGTTGTGACCTACGTTGAGGTTGATGGAAATAGGTTTTATGAGTAACGTGCATAGATTTTTAAGAACTAAAATAAAGGATTTTAATTTATTGCCGTGAAATGCATGTCCACCTTTCATTGAAGCTATTGATATGCTTTTTCGCATATTTCTTATTCCCTTATGAAAAGGGCTTACTCGATTTTATTAAAATAGTCTAGTGAGCTAATTTTTCAAATACTCTGTAGCTATGCAAAGAATCCTTATTTGGGTGTATATGGGCAAATAGGTCAGAAAACAGTGTTGGATTGAACATGCCCACATCCAGAATCATGATGTTTGACTAAAATAGAATACAGCGGTCGAGAGAGAATGTTTGCTAGTTGGATTTTGGCGTGGTTGTGTATTGCTGATCAGTGTGTTATTAAAAAGATTATTTTAAAATATTTTTTTCTGATGTAGGTTCTTCGAGATATACTTAAGGAAGTACAGAGTAACATGGTGCCACGCAGTATGCTTAAGGAGTGGGCTTTGCATACATTCCCAAATGCCACAGATTACTGGACATTTAGAAAGATGTTTACTATTCAGTTAGCCTTGATTGGCTTTGCAGAATTCATCTTTCATTTAAATAGACTCAACCCTGAAATGTTGCAGATTGCCCAGGTATGTTTTATTTTGTTCTAGATGCATGCTGTCTTCTTTGAACAAATGGAAATTTGGACTTCTGAAATGAGTCAAAATATGCAGCAATTTGACATATATAATTAACAATGCATTGCAGTAGTTTTTTCAGTTAATTATATGATTGTACATCGTGTAGATAGTAATTTAAACTGCCATCAGTGGATGTCAACTCTAACTTCTCTGATCAAAATATGAGAATTTAGAACTTTGTATGTAAAGTCATTTTTAGAAAGTGAAATTGTTCATGTAAATAACTGAAAAGAGTTCTCATTAGCCTTTCTTCAAATACTTTACTGTGGATATATCTGAATGTCAAACAGTTTCATTTAAAAAATATTTTCATGTTTCATGTTGTAAAAGGGGAATTTTCATTTCCAGCTACCCTTTTTCCTTGTCCTGAGTATTGACATCCTGTCAAGCTATGACTCTGATTAGTAGTGTGCTTTTTTTTCTTTCCCCTGTTGTAAATGAACATCTAAAGTGAGACTTGCTGTCTTAATAAAGGACTGTATATGTTAAAGTCTTGCTGCCATGTTAGTGCAGGGAGGGCTATACTGTGTATAGCAATTAAGGTTTTTTAATCCCGCTCTCCAGCCACGCTTTTGGCTGCGTACGCAGAGCGAGCGATGCAGTGCTTTGTTGGGATGCATACAGAATGAAAATTTGTGATTTTTCATGACTCCTTAGAGACCATTACTACAAAATCATCTTTTCCTTAAACTTGATATTATGCTGGCCTACATTTAGTAAGGTTTGAGAGAAGTACATACCTGCCCTTCTACATGCATTTAATTTTGCTCTTTTTTTCTTGAAGACTGTTTAAGGAAAAGAGTAGAAAGCTATTTCAGTAAATTAGCAAACCAAATCACCTTTCTAGAGTAGCTATTATATTTGTTTATTTTTGAAGACAATATAAGCAAAGTAGAAGTAATAGACCGCATTAATTCTTAAAGAATCACTTGTAACTATTTGTGCTTTAGCTATTTAACAGTAAACAAAAAATACATTCTTTTTTGGTTTCATTAATGAAAATCTGCTCCTTCTTTTGTACATCCTGCTTTTAAATCCAGGATACTGGCAAGCTAAATGTAGCTTACTTCCGTTTTGACATTAATGATGCTACTGGTGACTTGGATGCCAATCGTCCAGTTCCATTCCGGCTCACACCAAACATTTCTGAATTTCTTACCACCATTGGGGTATCTGGTCCACTGACTGCATCAATGATTGCAGTAGCTCGCTGCTTTGCACAGCCGAACTTCAAGGTCTGTATAATTTTTGAAAGGTTGTTTGCATGCACATTGTATTCAGCAGTTCATAAAACTAAACAGCATCTTATTGGTTAAGCTAGAAGCTGAACAATCCATATTTATGTTTCTAAATCTTACCCCAGGGTCATTAAAAAGGCCAGTGGTAATCTTTGTAATTTGCCTCTTTATGGGAAAGAATAGGAGGAAAATAGGTATAATTCTATTCTTAATTTCATTTTTAGTCCAAGCATGTTAATTCAGGCTGATTGTTTCAATGCTTTAGCCTTATAAATCATTACAAATTCTGGCAGCAGTAAATGGTAAAATGACAAATGCAAGATCATTTAGAATCTTTATAATACACTGTGAGTAGAAATGTGTCCTGGCCCTTTGTTAAGAGCAGAATGCTAAAGATATATTGTTACTTTGATGGATTCCAGCTCTTAGCAGGGTGTAGTTTTCTAAAGAAATTGTCTAACTTCTTTTTAAATTCTAATGCTTTCCAGAAATGAGGCATCTTGCAGTTAGGCGGCAATTTGCACCAGAAAGACATTGGGCAGAACATACTGTAGCTATAGTGTGAGCCAGTTATTTTTTTAAAACTGGAGAAATACCTGAAGTGATTTTTTCTTTATCCATAATACAGAAAGATGTGTTTGATATTTTTCATAATTCAGCAGCTTACCTTTCAAAGCCTTGTCTATACATGCAAACAAGCTTTCAGATATAGCATGTAATTTCAAGATCCGAGTTATGTATAGCCGATTAGATTTGCCACATTGATTTGTTGCGGATCAGAGCACAGGTGTCCCATTTATTCTTTTTGGAATTAAGAGTGCCCAGTGCTCTGTTCAGACATGCAGTCATTATTGCTTTAGACTATTCTGGCTTCTGGACTTGCACTGAACTTTTTCCTCCCCCCCACCTTTTTTTTTTTTCTTGTTTTTTTTTTTTTTCTTTAAGATGCCTATGTGTGTATATGTGTTGCATATGCATCTATTTGCCTAATCTTTAGGTATGCTATAAAATGTTTCCTTATGGGAAAACAGTGATCTAACTCAGACTAGACACATAAAAGCTTATTCTAAATGTTCAAGACTTTTGTGTCTTGAGTTGATAGATTAATGTCAATAGCTCAATTTAGTGATGAGAAAAAATAAGAAACTATATCTTGTGGACATAGTTTTTGTTTATCCAGTGATAAAGCTAGCCTTGGGATTTCTTTCAGCCTGAAATCTTTAAAAATATCTTTTTGAACATCCATTATCTAAAATGTCCTAGAATTAACTGTGCCATCTCTTGTTCCTCTTCCCCAAAAAACTGACTTTTTTTAGATTTCTGCTGTTTACATTACATTAAAATATGCTGCAGTCATTTAGGTGGGGAAGGGTATGGAGTTTCACAGAAGTCATTGGAGGAGCTCACTAAACACGATGACTGCAGACTAGCAATGTACAAATCATTGATCAAATTGCTATAATAGAACAACGTGCCCATATGAATATATGGGTGTATGGTACTTCGTAGCCAACTTACTTTCTCTCTTCAGCAGAAAACAGTATTCCCTGAGAGCATAATCACCGTGTAAAAACCAACTTTGTAAAGTGCTTTAAATCTTTGCACAGTGACTGTGTGTTTGTGTGGGTACATGTGCACTTGGGGAAGACAGAGACGGGAGGGAGCGCCCTATATTTTAAGAGAATAATTTAAAAATTGCGTGTGTATATGTGTGTGTGTGTATATATATATATATATGATTGTATTTGTGTATGATGATCTTAATATACTTTTTAGTTCATGTGATTTTTCATTTCTGTAGGGGGATATTGTGTTGTGTTTTCATAATGAGAACTTACGAATAGGCAAACCTTGAAAGGAAATATCACAGTTGGAAGCTACAGTTATCTTGAAAAGGCTGAGATTGCAAAGCAGGATCCAAAGTGTCAGAATGCTGCTGATTACAGTTTAGTTAAATATATAATTCCTGATGGTTCTTTGCATTAAACATAATTGTCTGATTTTTTTCATATAGGTTGATGGCATCCTAAAAACTGTGCTGCGGGATGAAATAATTGCTTGGCACAAAAAAACACAAGAGGATACTTCCTCTCCACTCTCAGCAGCTGGGCAACCCGAAAATATGGACAGCCAGCAGCTGGTTTCACTAGTTCAGAAAGCTGTTACTGCTATCATGACTCGACTTCATAATCTTGCTCAGTTTGAAGGAGGAGAAAGCAAAGTCAATACTCTTGTGGCAGCTGCAAATAGCTTGGATAATCTCTGTCGTATGGATCCTGCCTGGCACCCCTGGCTGTAACTTGAAATGTTCAATGGCTTCTTTTGCTGCTGTTTGTGCTGTGAGCCATGTATTGTGTTGAGAAAATGTGAAGAAATCTTTTCAAACCATGGCTTACCTGTCACACTATATTTTGTCACTCTTCATTTTAATCGTGTTTACAGGAATATAACAGTTCTACTTTTTAAAATTAATCTCATGAGGGGTTATCTCATGTTTCAGAAAAGGTTGTTTAATATGCAACAACAGCTTCACAAATAGCTTAAAATGAAGGGAGGAGAATTAAATAATGTACAGAAAAATCTTATTTTATGATGGGAACTATAAAACTAACTGCTACAGTTAGGATTCGCCATTCCTAATAATCTACAGTATATAAAGTTTTTATACGATTATGATAATTATATTTAAAAAAGGCAGTATTCCCAGTTACTGAATTTTACTGAGTGAAATTTTACTTAATCACTGTCCCTTCATTATATCAAATTGAAGGCACAAATAAATACTCTTCCTTACTCAGAAATTTACATGAGCAAAGTTGGCTTGTACAGAGAATTTTGTACCAAATGTATAGAGGTAACTGTTTGTTAGGCACTGAGAAAATGATGATCAAATTGTGCTAGCTTTTCTTGGAGCACAAACTATGTACAGTGAAAGTGTAAGCCATTTAGGGTATTTGGTTTAGTTGTGGACAGTGTTGTGGGGAGTTTATAAAAACAAAGGAAAAGTCATCCATTGATACATGTATTTGACAGTAACAGATATAAAAGCAAAAAGCTTATAAAGTTATCTCTGAATTTTTTTATGTTTAGACTTCTGTTATTTCAATAGCTTCTTCAGAAAGAATCTGTATCTTTGTAATTTAAGGAAAGATCAGTTTATTGTTTCACTTGAGTCTTTTTGTTGTGTTAGCATTTTTATAAAACTTCAGTGTTGAGAATGTTAAATTTGTACAGAGTGATTTTTTCAAAATAAATATTTTATAAAACTCTGTGGTATTCATTTTATTTAGAAAAACGTTATGTAATACTATCGCAATAAAATAATGAAGATCCACAAGCAGCTGTACTCTTCGATAAAGAAAATACTAGAATACTAGAAGGTGATGACTGTATTGAGACATGCCTATTTTCTCTCTAACTTTTTGCTTCTACGATGAGTTACAAATAGCATCTATGGTGAAAGAATTCTTGTCATACACAATGCACATCTTTCTTGCTAGCCAGTCAATTAACCTGTCAACCCTCTGTCTCCAAATCTGCACGACGTGCAGATCAAGGCTCGCAGAACGCGTGAATGTAGTTGAGTTGTGGCTAAAAGCAAAGTGACGAGCACTTTCCATGGGTGTCCTACCCCCAGAATCCCAGGAAGATGCGTTCCTTCCACCTTTGCAGCCATTAGAAGAACCAGCCAAGTGATACAGACTTCAGGGTCAGCATGGTGTAGGCCATGCATTTCTCTGGTGTTCATCTTATAAAACTGTACTCTCTCTATAGAATTTATATATATATACACACATATGCATTACAGGTAGTATACAGTAGTTTGCTGTACTGGGAATGAAACCTTTGATACTTAGGAAATAATATGCTATATGTTATTTATGCATAAATATTGCAATATGCATCAACTACTCAGGAACATGTATAGTTTTTCGCCAGGTTAATTTATGAATTTACTGCTTTTACTATTTATGAGTTTACTATTTTTGAATAGTAACAAGTATACAAAGTATTGAAAATGAGGCCACATTGCCTCAGGATATAACTATAATATAGCAGGAAAAATGCCTTTTTGAAAATGGAAATTCAAATATTACCGACTTGTAAATGAAAAGGAAGGCTTTACCCTTAGCTCTCAAAAATGACAAGTAAAGCCTTAATAATGGATTTATGGAAAAAAAGTCTTATTTTTATAGCAAAAACTCTGAAAAATACATGAATATTCCATTTTCTCCATAAAATGCAACACAATATTAAGGAAGGGCAACAAATTTAGCTTATTGTATGCAGAACTGTATTAATTTATTCCTTGAAGTTTTGGAGTCCAAAGATAAGTGGAAATAATTGTTCACTGGCTTAAACAGCAACAGTAGTAAGGTGCTACATTTTCTCTAAAATTATTTCACTTGGGGATATTTCTCATTCAAATGTATTTTCAATTCTTTCCTAGGTGAGAGATGGACCAGAGCTTTTCCCAGCAGAGTCGCAACTGGCTGCTAGCAGAATTGAGGACGTTAGCAAGGGTGAGGGGGCTCTTCCTGGGTGAGTTGTGGCTTTTGCTGCTCTTTATTCGCTTGTTTCCTAGATTCAGAAGAGGCAGCAGCAGACAAGATCCAGCAGCATCCAGCTCTTGAAGGTTTAAAAATAGCAGTAGGTAGCCAACTCACCTTGAGCCATGGGTAGCAGGCTGGTCAGTTTGTGGACTTGAGATGCAAATGTTTATATGAAGAGCTTTGAGTCTTTCTTAACTTAGTTCTCATGTGGATAAAAAGATATACTGAGGTCCCAGCTGGGGAGATGGAATGGATTTTGGCTGGGACAAAGTCTATTCTGTTTTATCAGATGCTTTTTATTCTAGATTATGATTCTGTTGGCTTGTTTGCTGAAGAAAGCTGCTTCCTCAACTTGGTCTATGTATCCTTATGTATCTGAGGCAGCAGCAATAGATTCAGTCATCCTGTATGTCATTGTTTACAAGTGCAAGCTCAAACACTACAGCGATAAGGGCTGTATAGGAATTTGGAAAACACATATCCTTTTTGTCAAAGACTTGCTTCCTCATCAAAATCATGTTGGTGAGAAGAATCGGCCCTTTTTCTTATAAAACACAAGGCTTCCTGCCTGTGTCACAACATAATCTATATGCAGTCATTCACGACTAAGCTTAGTGCTTTTATGTTTTGAAGGGAATTGTTGGCTTCTTACTCAGGATTGTAATGATTGTAGCTGTGAAATACAGCATATGCTACATCAGAGGAGTTGAAGTATTTTTCTTAATCATTTGCATGTCTTAGATATGTCTAAAAAAGAAGACAACATGCCCTGAAAGGAAGTCATCAGATAATTGGACAGCTTTTCATGATGGAAAAGCGAGACTAGAAATGATATGGGCAACAAAATTTGTTCCCTTGTGTGACCGTTTACTCCCGTTATATTTTTAAAAGAAAACATGAGGTGCAAGGGAATAGGACTAGGTAAAGAGAAAAATAATGAATGCTTTTAGTTATACATAAATTTTCTTCAGAATCTAGAGAAAATCTGACATATCTTCTATGATCAGCCATTGTCTACTAGCAGGTAACCTGTTCGACATTGCAGAGTAAATGGAGTTTCTGACTATGTTTAAGAACAAGTTACATCTGCATTTAGTTTTTCATGATCCTCAATAGGGATTCCTTTCGACTCTTTATCTCAGTTATATCTGCAATATAGATCTTGCTGAGTAGATACTTAGAAGTGAAATCCATTGTCAACTCACTCTAAATATTCCCTTCAAGGTTTCTTTTCTCAGATTACACATTCTAAAAAAAATCTACATTGGAAAAGAATTGCTGCTCTTAAAAATCAAAAAATTGAAAATTCAGAGAGATGAGAAATAAAATAGTCTCTTAAACTGTGTGCATGGGCATGACGTGGTCTTTAAATTCATCCTGTGTTCTTTTTTCCCCCCTATAGATTGCTGGACAAGGTATGCTTTGGTCTTCATGACAGTAACTGATGACAAGTTTTCACACGGCAATTGTGCCAACCATATTTCAAGTGTGTATGATACACATAAGGAGATATGTATGTTTTCCAAACCCAAGGTCTTGCCTTTTAAAAAAAAAACATAATTGAAACAGCCCATTTTAGCTAGCCTGTGTGTGTGTGTGTATTCTGTTGAACTGCCACCTAACAGAAACAGAACAAAAATAACAGTACCAGAAAATCTCCGCTTCATGCAGTCACTTAGTGGAAGAAAAGCTAGGTCAAATAGTTTGGAGTATAGCAAAGTCCAAGCAATTTTAATTAGATTCTGACAAGGGAAGGATTCAGGGAGTTTCATTACCAGAGCCATCTGTACTATATGTGAGAAATCTTGCTTCAACCACTGAGGAAACACTTGCCACTAAGAATGCAAATGTAACTTAGTCATTTTCATATTAAACAATTTGTAATGGATGGAAGTGAATATAAGCTTTATTTTCTTGCAAATGGGCTGTCCAAGTGTTGTCAGATACATGAATTGCTAAGGATATTATGAATTCTTCTTTGCCACCCCCAGGAGTGTTCTGAAGCTAAAGCTGTTGGTAGATATGTGAATCTGTACTTAACACTTTGAACAAATAATGCCTCATGTATGTGCTTAAAAAAAAAGAGGAGTTTTGTGGTAGATACAAATAATTGGTTTGTTTTGCTGCTGCTCTCTAGACTGCTGGGTGTAAATTCAAGCCTGCCAAAGATAGAGCTCAGTTACCTGCTCATTTTTGTGAATTGCAGGTGGGAGATCCTTGCCCCTGTGCTCACAGGATTGCAGCCCTCCTGATGCACAGCTCCAGGGGAGCTATCAGCCCCCAGCCCTGGAGCACACCAGGCACTCGGGCAGGGCGGAATTACCTGTGTGCTGCTGAGGTGGGATTCACAGCAGGTCACTCGCGTGGTGGAAATACTAGGAACTAAACAGACCTTTTGTCATGAAACACCACAAACAAATATGTGACCTGGGGAATTTATGCAGTCCACAACCGCCGTCAGGTTTGTTGAATTTTATTGTATTTTTTCCAGCTTCCATATTTTTTTTAACCGTGCTTGGCTCTGTTTATTAGGCAATAACATTGCAATTTAGCTATTGTCATCCCTCAAGTAGATTATCAGTATCAATTTGCTTACGTAAGCTATAGTTGAGACCAAAATTATTTACCACTGGTTGGGTGCTTGAGCTCACCCTGCAAAACCAGCATGTTGCTTCACTCTCCTGTAACTGGGCAGTCCATGAGCTGTCAGATGGACAGGTGAGTTAGTACTGGGAGAAGATGACTCAAAGCAGCAGACAGGGAAAGCTCTGCTTTGGGGTGGCAGTGAAATTAAGTTGCTTTCAGGGCTCTGATCTGTGCCAAACATGATGCATTAAATGTTCTTTTGCGGTGGAGAACCCTATTCACACAGAGAATTCAGAGAAGCTTTTAATCAGCTCTTTGTGGGCGCACTGTGCGTTCAAAAGGTTCACGAGAGCATGTGTAAAAAAGCGGTGTATTACGTGTGATTTGTTGTTATTCCCCCAATGTGCTGGTGTCCTGTGTGGACACGTGCAGTGACACTGCCAAGGAGCGCTAACACAGCGATAGGTGTCTTAGTGCAGTTCCTTTCAAAGGAGGAGTCAGGGTGGCGTGGTGAAATCTTGAAATCCGCGGACCTGCTGGAGTAGAA